CTGTGGAGAACACAGCAGTCTGTCTGTGTATTTTAGTCACGCCCCACAAAATACACACATCAGTACAATGCAGCTCCTGACTCACCTAATCTGCTCATTTAACAAAAAGCAGCTCAGTGTGTGTGTTGACATGCCCTGCTCGCCAAACCAGCAGAAATAAAGTAAATAAATAGAATAGAATAGAAAAGAATATTTTTTTTATTGATCCCCCATTATGGGAAATTTACACAACACAGCAGAATCTAAAAATATAGAAAGAAAGTACAAGAAAATAACAATAACTGCTAATAAAAATATTTACATTCTAAAAGAAAAAAAAATTGTGCAAATTGAATCCGTGACCATGAAATGTCCATTTTTGTCAAAACACGCTGCATAGCTGTTTATGTATCCAGATATTCAATCACTCTAATTATTATAATTATATACTTGAATCGTAATGATTACAATTACAATAATATTTGTTGTAGCTGTGTGCCAGATTAAGAACAGCTTGGATTGTTTTTTTTTTTTATCGAATTAACCTGAATTATCCTTTTGTTTTTCCAATGTAAAGAATCATAAATTAAGCAAGTCCAATCAACTCATGTTTTTATGCTGACTGTAAATATTTCACTTTAAATTTAGCTTAAATGTGATTTTGGGGGTGAAAAATTAGGCCAATTTAAAACAAACCAAAGAAAAACAAGTTATTATAACTTTAGTCATTTTGATGTCATGTTTATTTATGTTATTCCATAAATAAACAACAGGGGGGATTTTATGGCTTGTGCAGGTATAGATCCACAAGTGGGGTGTTTGCCATCTACTTTGTACTTGTATGTTATTCCATAAATAAACATAACAGCTGAGAGTCCATTCAACACATTAATTTTTATAAGAAACACAACTGGATACTTCAGTCACCTTCCAAATTTCAATGTGATGTGGCTTTATGCTTCAATTCTACAACATTTCTTGGGGATTTTTACATTTTTTACTTTTAAGAAATAAATCCATGTAATTTCCCTTTGGCAATGAAATCACTCCATTCATTGTGTCTAGCTGCAATATATTTTGCGTTTATGTTCATAAAATGTTTCAGTGTGGTTTTCAAAATAGGACAGCATGTAAAACATCAATTTTTTAAAAACATGTCGTAATTGTTAATGTTAAACTAATGAACAGCATGTAAAGAAAGTTACAATACGTCCACCTGAACCAGAAGTGACACTAAAATGCTGTTTACATTTTAATGCCATTACAAAACTTTGACTGGAGCCACACTGCATAGTGAATGTTTTTATTTTTGGCGCAATATATTTTGTTGCCTAAAAATATAATTGTACCTACAACTTCTTACCCCAATTCAAAAATACTGACACTTACACAACTTCAAACCCAAATTTAAATTTTATTTTATTTTGTAACTTTTGTTACCAAACCGGGTAAACGTTCCGTGGTACTCGTGCATTTATTTTGAAACTCGACAGCGTGACTGTTGCTGCTCTGTGATTGGTTCAGCTTACCTCGGCGTTCTGCCGCCGTCACTTGGTCTGCGCGTGGCTTCAGCTGGTTTTAAAGTGACCCGTGTTACACAAAGAGGGTATTTTTGGTATTGTTTGACTAAGTTTTACGTCTGACAGCATCGGTGTCATTTAAAAAAAAAAACAAATAATGAAAACAAACCTGCCCCGGAAGGTGTTTGCGGTCGCGCACCACGTCAGAGCGACCAAACGACAAGCAGTGTCTCTGTGAAGAGCTGGAGAAAGACGAATTTAGAACTACCCACATTAACACAAATGTGACACTGTAGGGTACAGGGTCATAGTCTGATACGATACAGCACGACCAGCATGATGTACTGACTGTACACTGAGGATGACACAACTAATGAACTGGAGAACAACATTAGGGGTATTTTTAATCTGCTGCATGGCACCATGCCGGCCAGATTTTCACACCTATAAATACACCAGCTTGGCATTTCTACACTTTGATCCCAGATCTATTTGAGTTTTATTTAAAAAATAAAAATAAAAAAGTTTTAAATAACTGAACTTCCCATAAGAAGTTCAAATGACATCGTGCTGTATCTGACCATGGACAAACTTCTCTCCAAACACAACATTCAAACTTCTAAACACATCATGTGACTCTAAACGCTTCAGCTGTTGCATATGTCTTTTGCTTATTTGCTAGTATCATGTGTTTTAGTCACTGTAGCAGCTATTTAATAACTGTAAGTGAAAATGACAAGTTTCATCACACATTTATTGGTTTAAAAAAAATATTACACAGCAGGTGGTTTCCTGCTTCACACTTTGTGCATTTTAAGTACATTCGATTACCAAATTTACCCCCAAAGAATCAAAGTAACCAAACATCAGAATCAGAGTCGTATGTAAAAAACCTAAAAAAAAAACAAAAAAAACAAAACACTCACACACTCACACACACAGACAGACACAGGAGGGCACTCGGTAAGACGTGGCATCTACTGAGATCCACTGGGTGTATCCTGACTGCTCTCTGGCCCCGAGGCATCCACTCCCTCTTTACACCTGTTGGGGGATCCTTTCTCCAGCACTGAAGGTCACCTCCTTTATGCAACACTTCATGTCTGCTTCAACACATCCTGCCTCCTCAACCCACAGGCACTCACATTACCTTCCTTATATTGTTATACATGGTTTCATGACTGTGGACGCTTTGGGGATGTTGTTGTGTAAAGGGTTATAGAATGTTCTTCTGTTAAACATTCTCATAATGTTAAACGAAATGATTCCTCAGAGTACACAATGTTTTTTTTCTAAAATATTCCTGATATGTGACATGTTAACAAAGGTAGAACATTTGCCTTCAGCATTCTGAGGATGCTTTGGGGACGTTGTTGTGTTAATGATAATAGAATGTTCTTCTACTAAACATTCTTATGATGCTAAAGGAAAACAACATTCTCAAAGAAACATTCAGAAAATGTTTTAAGGATGTTATAAGGGGCTCAGATGACATTATGTTATTTTGAAAACATTCTTACAATGTTACATGATAATAAAGGAGGAACATTCTTAATTCAACATTTTGAAAATGTTCTCAGGATGTTATCGATGCCTCAGATCACAAAACGTTTTTTACATAACGTTTCTGTAATATGATATGTAAACAAAGGAAGAATGTTTTGCCTATAACATTGGGAGGATATTATGGGGACAGTGTTTAGGTAACAGATTACAGAATGTTGTTTCGTAAAATGCTCCCACAATCTTAAATGACATCACATGAAGAACATTTCCAAAGTAATATCTGGAAAATGTTTTAATGATGTTATTAAGGCCTCAGATTATATTACGTTATTTTAAAAACACTCTCACAATGTTGCATAATAATAACAGAGGAACATTCTTACTGCAACATTTGGAAAATCTTTTCAGAATGTTATGAAGACTACAGTACATCTCCTTCAATTCTGAGAAATAAAATTGTGTTTTTCAGTTTTTGATAGAAGAATGCTAAAGAAGAACATTGTGTTGTGGATGGGAATAGTTGTTTTCTTCTGGAAACTGAAAGAACTTCCAACCTCAACCTCAACTTCTAGAATACTAACTAAAATGTGTGGCTCAGCTGATAGAGTGGGTCAGTCAATGATCGGAAGGTTGGTGGTTTGATTCCGCCTTGTAACCTGTGTCATGGTCGTTGTGTCCTTGGGTAAGACACTTCGCCCACCTTCCCAGGTGTGAATGCATATGAATGGATTGTTTGAGGTGGTGCTCAGAGGGGCTGTAGGTGCAGAATGGCAGCTATATAAATCCGATCAGTTATTATGAAATGAAATGAAATGAAATG